TAATAATGATAATGATAATGATAATAATAATGATAGCAATAATGATAATAATGATAATAATAACAATAATAATAGAAATAGTAATAATAATAACTGATAATTATAATAATAATAATGATAATAATAATAATCATGTTAACAATATAAATGATAATGATGATAGTAATGACAGTAATGAAGATAATAATAATGATGATGATGATGATGATGATAATAACAATGATAATAATAGTAACAATAATGGTAATGACAGCAATGATAATAACAGTAATAATAATAAGGATAATAATAATAACAATGACAACACTAATAACTAGATAACGATGATAATGATCATCATCATCATCATCATGAAATAGTAACAATGATGACAACAATCATAACAATAGAAATACTAATGATAATAATAATGAAAATAATAATACTAATGATAATAACGATATAAAAATATAAAAATAATAATGATGATTACGATAATAATAATAACAATAATTAATGGTAATAATAATAGAAAAAATGCTGTTAATGATAGTAATACTAACAAAATGGTAATAATAATTATTACTATAATTTTCATTACTATTATAACAATAATGATGATGATGATGGTAATAATAATAATAATAATAATAATAATAATAATAATAATAATAATAATAATATGATGATGATGATAATGATGATGATGATGATGATGATGATGATAATGATGATGATGATGATGATAATAATTATTATTATTATCATTATTAATATTTTTATTATCATTATCATTATAATGATAAGAATAACAGCAGCAGCAAAGCGGAGAGGGGAAACAAGCGTAAAAGAATTGGGGTTGATGGCGGTTGTTTATGGCGAGGGTTATGTTTTTTTTTTTTTTTTTTTTTTTTTTTTTTGGTCATGTGTCCTTGTTTTATTTTTTGTCATGTGTTCTTGTTGTTTTCTTGTTGATTTCTTTTACGACGTCGTGTCTCCCTGAAGTCCCTGGGGGTTGTTCGCGCCTGTAAGGAGGCTGTGAGAGAGTGGGCGGGTGTGTGTATGAGCTTACATGTGTGTGTGTGCCCGTGAGAGTGTGTGCGTGAATGTGTGTGTATGTGTGTGTGTGTGTGTGGTGTGTGTGTGTGTGTGTGTGTGTGTGTGTGTGTGTGTGTGTGTGTGTGTGTGTGTGTGTGTGTGTGTGGTGTGTGTGAGTGTGTGTGTGAGCATACGTGTGTAAGTGAATGTGTGTGTATATGTGTGTGTGTGACCGTCCATATGTGAGTAATGAATGTGTGTGTGTGTTTGCGTGTATGGATGCATGTGCGTGAGTGTGTGTGTGTGTGTGACCGTCCCTATGTAAGTGAATGTGTGTGGGTGTGTGATCTTTCCATTCCATCATATATTTTCCTCTCTTCTCCTTTCCTTTCACTCCCTTCTTGCTCTTACCCATCGCCCCTTCCTACACAAAATCTGCCTTACACCCCTACCCCCTTTCCCCTTTCCCCCCTTCCCTCCTCCGAATTCTCTTTCCCAGTTCTTATCCTCCATCTCATCCCCATGACTCCCCCTCTTCCTCCTCTTCCCAGTTCCCCCTCCCTCCTCCTTCCTTCCCTCCCTTCCCCTCCCTACCTCCCTCCTCCGCCTTTCTTCCCCATTTCCCTCCCACCCTCTCTCCCCACCCCCTATCCACTACCTCCTTCCCTCTCTCTCTCCCACATCCATCCCAACACCCAGCCCTCCTCACTTCCCCAACCCCCTCCCCCTCCCTCTCTCTCTCTCCCATTTGCCCCTACCCTCCTTCCTTCGCCATTTCTTTCTCTTCTTTTTCCTTTCTTTTCTTTTCTTCTTCTTTTACGAGACGGACCGTTCATTCCAATAAGATATACATTTGATAATAAATAGAGCTTCTAACACACCATACAACCCTCAGTGCAATAATCCTCCATTCACAAACACCACACAATCGTTAGATACAATAATCATTTTCCACTATGCTCCTTATCGTACGGTCAGCCTTTTCTCTTTGAGTTTCCGGATATTCACACAACAAAGAGGGAAAAATTGAAGCACTCAGAGAACGCATACCACTGCCAAGGCCATAGAGTCACTGATGCAATAAAAATATTAACATCTGGATAGTTTATGAGCCTAATAAAAAAGTATCCCTGAATACAAAAAATCAATCTTCATAAAATTAATCACAAAAATAAGAAATTGATCAAAATAGTCTTAAGAACCAAAAGATAAAACCATGAAATAAAGATAAGTAACAAAATATTAAGCAAAAAAAAATAAATAAACGGAATATCTAAAAGCATCAGAATAATTAATGGATCGGATCTAGATATAAAACAGATAGAAGACGTGTCAAAACGAGTCCTTCCTAAGTTGAAATAGTCCCCCATAAGTACATTTTCTTTGAAGGTGCCCCATCCTCACAGTTGTAGGGATAACTATTATCCCGGACCGTTTACAATAATCGTCTTCAATAATATATATATAAAGTTTCCACGACACACACACTACACACACACACACACACACACACACACACACAACACACACACACCACACACACACACACAGATATAAATATAATATATATATATATATATATATATATATATATATACATATATATACACGACAAGAGTATTTGGATATGCCGGTACCTGTGCAGAAGGACCAGGCTACGTGTCTTCAAGGTCCTGATAATGCTTGCTAATCGGTAGTGAAACCTAGGCCGTAGCCACGAAAGGTTTTCAGACAATTCTGAGACTGAGTTTGAGAAGTGTCGGAGGAAAAAATAGGTCTGTCGTTTACATCGTTGGTCGGCGCTTATTTATTTCATATGATACATATAATACAAGAATGCTTGACAACATGTTTTCATTGGCAAAATACTCTATCGTGCTGGTACAACACACGCAAATCAATAATTAATTACACAAAAACAAAAACAAAGCGAAAATTGTGATGGCCTTTGCTGAAAAAAGCATATTCTCAACTTTTGTCTCAACTCTGTCTCAAATGTAAGACAGGGTCGCAGGAGTCTTAAGTCTTTTGAGAATAGACAGACAGTTTCACATTGAAGTATAGGCTTATGTATGTATATGCGTATATATGTGTGAACAAATAGAAATATGTGTGTATATGCATATGTATGTCTGTGCATATGCATGTGTATATATGTATGTATATTATATATATATATATATATATATATATATATATATATATATATATATAATGTATCAATGTATAATAAACACACACATACACATATGCATATATACACACATATGCATATACAGACGCATAAATCTATATATTCACACACATATGCGCATATAAATACATAGGCCTATAATCCTATGTGAAACTGTCTGAGACGATTCTCAAATGACAGGACTCCTGCGACCCTGCCTTACATTTGAGGCAGAGTTGAGACAAAAGTTGAGAATATTGTTAGACACTATATATATATATAATATATATATATATATATATATATATATATATATATATATATACTATGTATACATATATATCATACATACACACACACACACACACACACACACACACACACACACACACACACACATAATATATATATATATAATATATATATATATATATATATATATATATGTATGTATATATATATATACATATATATACATATGTATATCATATATATAATATATATATGTATATATATATATATATATATATATATATATATATATATATATATATATATATATATATATATATATTATATATATATATATATATTTATATATATATATTATATATATATATATATGTGTGTGTGTGTGTGTGTGTGTGTGTGTGTGTGTGTGTGTGTAAATATATATATATATATATATATATATATATATATATATATATATATATGTATATATGTATATATGTATATATACATATATACATATATATATTTACATTTCCTTGCATCGTTTGCATCATAGGGAGGGAAAGGGCCATAAATACGCAGTTGCATGCATATGGAGAAACTTTCCTGTATGCCTTGTATTTTTTATTTCTACTTTTTTTCATTCTATTTTCAACGTTACAGCCTTACTCTAATGTATCTTTTTTCACTAGGTTTTCTTTTATTTCTTTTTCTTAGGCTCTCGTTTCGCCCGCTTCCCTTGCTCTCCTTCCCCGTTTATAGGATCCGAGTCGCGCTGCCTCTTCCTCCCCCTCTCACCGCCTTCAGCGCCTTCAACGCCCTCGGCGATCTCAGCGCGCTTGGCGTCCTCTGCGCCCTCGTCGCTCCGGGGCGGGAACCGGATGTTCCACTGGCCGTCCCCGTTGAACTCGATCCTCGCGCCCTTCAAGAACGCCATCCCTGCCGTCACTGTTGGGCAATATAGATCGAAGACGACGACTTTGCCGCAGACCTCCTTGCCCAGCGCCGCGACCTTCACGCCCTTGGCCGCGTGCTCGATCAACATCACTCCCGTCTGAATCCGGCACCTCATGGGAGGAATCCTCAAAGGGTGGACGCGGCTATGCGCCCCCGTCGGCGTTAGCTCCTAATGATGACGATGATGATGATAGTTAAGTTCATTTTATCTGTTGTTATTATCATTATATGCTATGAACCGATAGTTAGGTTCATTATATCTATTGTAATTATTATATGATATAAGCCGTTATTTTTAATGTTTATATTATTATTATCATCATCGTTGTTAGTTATCATTCTTGTTATTATGCTGCCACATTATTACTACTACCATATCTTTATTCATGAATTAACAGATCGGTCTATCACTATTAAATATTATCATTACTTTCATATCATACAATATGTAAGACTTAAGGGCAGTACTTACATACCGGGGGAAAATAACTTAAAGTCATAATCATATTAAGTTATTGCTTGTTTTGGTGCTTTCATTACTACAATGTGTTTTATAATAACCCTTTTAATAGATCACACCGTACTATAACTATTACTTTATCTTTGGCATCCCTGTTGGATATATTTATGGTCCCTGACTTCATGTAAACAAACATGATGGCCGCTCTTACTTGGACAAAATTACGAAGTGTACACAGATATTTTGGTTACAGTAGCTTAATCAGAGCTTGTATTCGATATTATCAAAAGCATGAGAATTTTCGCATAATTAGTGAATGTAACAATGGGTTTATTCAGCCTGTCAATGTACTTTACACGAGAAGAAGTACTGCGAGATATAATGCCTATACCTCAGAATCGCGGAATTTTACAACTTCAGCATCAAGGGAACGTCAGGTGGGTTGTTTTTACCTTTGTTAATATTATTCCGATATTTGGCCAGTGTCGCCAGATTACCGAAATTCATATGCTATATGGGAAATTGCCAAATGATGTAACATAGATGGTAAACACGTCACGCTTCCGACATGGTAGTAAAATATTTCAGTACTCTTTCTGGTTGAGGTAATTCTAAGTAAGGGTAGTTTTCTTTATTACCTTCGCCTCTCTGATATTGAAGATTTTGCTGCCGCCCCCCAACCCCCGCCGAGGAAACAAAATATCCACCACATATTCACGGCAGGATAGAGCACACACGAACTAGATGCGGAGCCGATAACCCCTACCATAACCTAGTAGGAGCACCCTCCACACTCAGTCATCGCGGTGGCTATGGCGGAGTACTGAACGCGACGGTTATTTCGGTTAGGATTTCGAAAATCGTGGTTCCAGGGGACGGGAACCTCGACCTTGAGGCCATCGGTGTAACATCAAGAGAGGCGCAAAACCCGCCGACGAGGGCGCTCTTCTGTTCATGGTATACCCCGTTCATCATGATTATATTACAATCGTCTCTGTATACAATGCTGACTATGTCAAGGTTAATATGCTGATTCCGTGGGAATGTTACGAGGTAACTGTAATATGTCCACCGCTCTGAGATCGACGATAATTTTATAACGCTCTAGCCTGCCGGGAATACGGGGTGGAGGTTTTGTTTCCTTGGCGGGGTTGGGGGGCGGCAGCCCGCTCAGGTGGGGTCGCAGGGGGTGCAGCCCCTTGCAATGGAAAGTCATGTGAATAACCATAGTTATTTTCAAAGTTTGTTATATTATTAGTGTTATTTAACCCCTCATTTGTAAGCTTCACATTTCAGGATATAAAGGTATTTGGTTTATTATTTTATGGTGTGAATGCAGTATCTGTCATGCCGTACATAGCATGGTGGAAAGAATGTGTCCTGGGGGGTGATGGGAGCCTTGCCCCACATCGACCAGGGCACGCCTAGTCACGGCAATTTATATTGATATATTAGATTGGTTTATTGGTCAATACATTTTTTGGGGGGGTTGGAACGTGTGAATTCCCGTAGAGTTTATCCAAAATGCGGGTTGGGTTCCTGAAGAGTTTGATTTCTGGTGCATCAGCCCGTAGAATTTCAAAGATGGCAGTTACATCCATAGAGTTTCATTGGCCAGTTTTAAGCATTTTTTTTGTGCTAGTTTTACACATTTTCAATCGTTATTCTTCTTATTTAAGCTTATTTTACCCCATAATTTCCTTGATATACTTCATGCCCTCCCCTGCTAACGGGACTATCAAATCAAGATTGTTGATGGAAAAGTGGTACTCAATATCCTGAACGATTCATTTGCAGAAGAAACAACGCCGAAAATCTATGAAATCACAGGATTTCATGCAGATTTTTTTTTTTTTTTTTTTTTTTTTTTTTTTTTTTTTTTTTTTTTTTTTTTACTTAGTCTGTGGGAGGGTATGTCGCTCTCTGTAACAATTACCCATTTTACTATTCTCAAGCTCTTTTATTTTTCAGCTGGTATTGGGCATTGAGACAAGCTGTGATGACACAGGTGCCTCTGTAGTTGATGATAAAGGAGCGGTGCTTGGTGAAGCATTAAACACTCAACAGAAAATACATTTGATGTAAGTTTTCTGATATTTTATTAAGAGGAAAATTAAGTCTGTTGTTAGGAAATATATGTTGAGTGTTGAGAATACTTTGACTACACCTTTTCTGATATGATGTAAACTGCAGTTGTGCATTTGCAGAACCTTTGTATTTATCTAATATATAGTGTATTTTATCATTTAACACCAAATTAAGGGCATTAAATGAGTTTAGTTGATAGATGTGCTAGCTGTCTGAATATAAAGAACTGAGAAGTGTTTTATTTTGAAAGGCATGGTTAGGCCAGTGGCCCGACGTTTGCATGCAGAAAATATTGAAGAGGTTGTCACCACAGCCTTGAAGAGATCAGGAGTCTCACTGGAGGAAATAGATGCAGTTGCTGCAACAGTTAAACCAGGTGAGTGATGATATGAAATCATGATATAAGGTCAAAGAAGAAAACATGGTTTACTTAACTCAATTCAAAGGGGTCGTCCCTTGATTTTTGGCCAGGGATTTAAAAATAGAGCTATGGCTATTTCTGAACATCTATGAATCTAAGGAATTACCTTCTTAAATATCATATCCAGTAAAGGTACTATAATTATATCCCCCATTCCCTCCATTGTCTAGATATAGACAGCACCCATGTATACACATGTACAAATACATATACATACAGATGTATATATAAGTGTACATATATGTGGGCAAAATATCCATATAACCACGCAAACATGTAGTGGGAAGCAAGTAGTAACCATTATTTCCATATATTTTTATTTCTTTATCACATTGATCTAATGTTTTATTGATTGGAGATATTATGATTGTCATTTTTAGAATGATCACACCAGTTGTATGATAAAAATCCTGAGCTTTCACTTGCTATATATATGTCTGTTAAGAGGTCAATAGATTATGGAAAATTAACAAAAACATTGAAGAATGATTTCTCTTTTCTTCTTCTTTTCCAAACATACTTTGCTCTTATAATTTTTGTTTAGTCTCATAAATCTTTCTCCCCCTCCTATGCCTTAAGGTACCAAAAGTTGTGCAAGAAAACCTCATATGTCTTGCCTAAACTAATGCCAATCTGTGAACCCATTTTTTGTTTCTTACCAAAGATTGATACTTGGCAATATTTCTTAATTGAAGAATATCAGATTTAACATGTTTGAGGCAATCATCATTACTTTTAACAACTCGTTCTAAATATAGTTTACTGAAAACTCTAGTATTGTTATTTTATAAGTATTGCATACCCGAAAGATTCACTTAAAGAGAATGAAAATCATTTAAGATTAATGTTTTATTTTTATACAGGAATGCCCCTCTCCCTCGTTGTTGGTACCGAATATGGGAAACAGCTAGCATTGAATGCAAGAAAACCATTTATACCAATTCATCATATGGAAGCACATGCACTTACTGTCCGTATGGTAGAGCAGGTAATTTAAGACAGAAGGTTGAAATGTTATAAAACTTGCTTTTAGTATTTCTTCCTGTTTACAAATTATTCTTTGTCTTTTGGATATTGGTATAAATATTTTCATCATTTTCTTTATTCTCCCTGTGTTCCTTCCCATATTTTACTTTTTCAGTTTATGTGTTTTTGTTGAATTCATTTTCTTCCCTCCATCCTATCTTCTTTATTTTTTACTGCTTTTCTGTTGGCTTAGGTATGAAATATCAGAATTGAGCAATGTGATTCTTCTGTATCACTTTTAAGGCGCAGTTCAACTGGCCTTGTGTACGTGCAGGTCTCACGATGTGTGTGACCATTTAGGCCTAATCATGTCACTTTAGATCTTAGGCTGAGGGGAGTCAGCAATAACATGACCTAGAGTGTTCTTTTATCAGACATCTCTGGGCTTTCCAGGGTGCAATTAAAAACTATTGTCTGTAATTTCCTTAAAGAAATTATCAGTATCTTTAAGTATCTATAAAGCCAATAAATGTTATATTAGAGAGTTTATATAAAACATTTAGTTAATTATCAAAAATTCATGTTTAAGTATCTATAAAGCCAATAAATGTTATATTAGAGTTAATTATCAAAAAATTCATATTTTATTGCCAAAAACAAATAAACAAGAAATGGGTAAATTGACACTGAGGACCTACACTCATGTCGACAGCCTGTCAGAGTAGCATTGAATTTTAAAAAACAGGGATTAAGTCTGTGTGCTCCTTGTAGCTTAAATGAGAAGTACTATGTGCAGTGTTACTCAAGCGAGAGCCAGGTGTGGTCTGGTACAGTGGTGCTTTTTGCAGTAGAAACACTAGTCCTGGCTCCACACTCGGACATTAGTCAGGTCCTAGTTGAAGACAAGGCCAGTTGGACCATGCCTTTAGTCACCCAAACAAAAAACCACACACACATTTTACAGCTGATAATAGAAATTAACACAAGAATTTTCTGGGTTGAGTTTCCGTTTCTGGTTTTGTTAGTATCAGGAGGCCATAGTTTGTTAGTGTTGGCTCATAGTGTTGACAGGTGGTCAATTATTGGTCAAACTGTTGATGATGCACCTGGAGAAGCACTTGATAAGGTAAGTGAAAAGTGCCTTTTCTTCTTTTGTTACTTCTTTTTTTGTTTTCTTATATATCATAATCACCTTCTTGCATCCTTGCCTTCTTCCCCACCTCTCTCCTCATTGTTATTCCTATTCTCTCATTTCTTTCTTTCTCCTCCTCCTCCTCCTCCTCCTCCTCCTCCTCCTCCTCCTCTCCTCCTCCTCCTCCTCCCTCCTCCTCCTCTCCTCCTCTCCTCTTCCCCCCTTCTCCTTCTCCTCCTCCTCCCCCTTCTCTTCCTTCCTTCCCCTTCTCCTCCTTCCTGCCCCTTCTCCTCCTTCCTGCCCCTTCTCCTTCTCCTCCCCCTTCCCCTCCTCCTCCTCCTCCTCCTCCTCCTCCTCCTCCTCCTCCTCCTCCTCCTCCTCCTCCTCCTCCTTCTCCTCCCTCCTCCTCCTCCTCCTCTCCTCCTCCTCTCCTCCCCTCCCCTTCTCCTCCTTCCTCCCCTTCTCCTCCTTCCTCCCCTTCTCCTCCTCCTTCCCCCCTTCTCCCCCTTCTCCTCCTTCCTCCCCCTTCTCCTCCTCCTTCCCCTCTCCTCCTCCTCCCCCTTCTCCTCCTCCTCCCCTTCTCCTCCTCCTCCTCCCTCCTCCTCCTCCTCCTCCTCCTCCTCCTCCTCCTCCCCCCCTCCCCCCCCTCCCCCCTCCCCCTTCTCCTCCTCCTCCTCCTCCTCCTCCTCCTCCTCCTCTCCTCCCCCTCCCCCCTTCTCCTCCTCCTCCTCCTCCTCCTCCTCCTCCTCCTCCTCCTCCTCCTTCACCACCACCTTCTCCTCCTTCTCCTTCACCACCACCTTCTGCTCCTCCTCCTCCTCATCCTTCTTCTTCTCCTTCTTCTCTTCTCTTCTTCTTCTTCCTTCTTCTTCTTCTCCTTCTTCTTCTTTCCTTCTTCTTCTTCCCCTTCTTCTTCTCCTTCTTCTTCTTCTCCTCCTTCTTCTAGTTCTTTTCCTCCTTCTTCTTCTCCTCCTCCTCCTCCTCCTCCTCCTCCTCTCCTCCTCCTCCTCCTCCTCCTCCTCCTCCTCCTCCTCCTCCTCCTAGGAGGATAGAACAACTAATTGACTCATTAGTGGCTAAGTAATTGTGAAGCTAAGTATGAATAAAATAAATGAACTAAAATCATAGTGGATGTGGCATGTACATACGTGTCATCCCATCATGTAGAGGTTAAGTACTAGTTTGGTAATCTCATACAACTTTCCTCTGGGTCAACTCAGTCTAGGGTATACCCAAAGAAGTATTTCTAAAGCACAATGGTCTTTAATTTAAGAAATTACTCTATTTCAGCAAAGATAAGTAAACACTAGAAAAAAGCTAACAATTATAGATTTAATGTCATACCATTAGATATAACATACAACCTCCTTATAAATCATATTTATATGAAACAAAAGTATAAATAAAATGAATAAAGCATTAATGAATATCATGACATATGTTAGTCTTTGCCAGGACACATGATCATGTTTAAATCATATTTCATAGAGTAAATGTCATAATAATATCCATACATGTCTTATAAAAATATCACTGAGACTTTGAACTATTCTGCTGGAGTACTGGTTATGCACGACAAGTGAAACTAGAGTAAATTCAAGCTATATAAAATAATATACAAATCTTACGTCCAACCCAGGCTGCCATGATCCAACCTGCAAACATTCAAATCAAAACTAACTGAACTTCATTTCTGCCACTGTGGCAATTACTGATGCCTTTCAAATTAACTAATTTTACTTTATCCCAAATAATTATGAAACCATTCACATTTACAATAGACTATATAAGCATTTATGAATACAAAAGAAAGAAAACGTATTCAACATGACCAAAGAAAATGGTTATTTCACCTTAGACTTAACTATATTATGATTTTCCTTAACATATTACATAATAACTGCATGATGGTAATTGTGTGAAATCTTTTCAAAGGGCGCTCGGCGGCTGAAGTTGCGCAACATTCCAGAGTGCTCATCCATGTCCGGTGGTCAAGCTATTGAACATTTGGCTAAAGAAGGAAACCCCCGGGCCTATGATTTTCCAACACCAATGTGGAAGTATAGGGACTGTACCTTCAGCTTTGCAGGTCTAAAACACTCACTATTGAAACTGATCACAAAGTTAGAGGAAGAGTATGGTAAGTTTACAGTTCCAATGGTTACCAATTATTTATTTTCTTACAAGTTACTCATCAAGTGGCAAGTCTGTTAATGATAAAATCATGTAGAACATAATATCATATGGGTAATGCAAAGAAGAAATATTCTAAAACTGCAAGTTTGATTGACATAGATTATAGCTGCCAATTGGATATGTATTTTATATGTAAAAACAACTTAGAAGAGATAACAACAGGTAGAATAGTTAATTTTATGCCATTATCAGTTATAATGTATTGTTGCCATAGTAATGCAATGTTTTATAGCTTTATCACTGAGAAGAAAATATTATGGTTTATAGTTAATGGGGTCCATGTTGTGTACCTTTGATAGTTATGAACAGTTTTAAGTATTTATTGTTAAAAATTCAAAATATGTCTCTAAATGCAAAATATGCCTTTTTCTTCAGAGGTTGAGGGTGGAAATATTATTCCACCAATCAGAGATGTATGTGCATCATATCAATATGCTATAACCAAACATCTAGTCCGGCAGACTCAAAGAGCTATGGTCTACAACGACATCCGTGGATTACTTCCTAAGGAGAATTTGAAACTGGTAAGTGAATGTAAAACACATGCACGCACAATCACACACACACACACACATAAAAACACACACAAGTATGCCAAGCTGTAGTTTGCAGCTTAGCATACTTGCCCCAGGTTGAGTCACACAGGTCCACAGCCTTGTCCTCGCACCTCACCATCAGCACCTTCTCGATGACTCATTGTGGAGACCTGATTGCTTGACAGGGACACCTCACGGCACGCTCATTGGACCACAGGCTCCCCTCACTCCCACGTAGCTGGCACAGCTTGACAGTACTTAAGATCCAGCACCCAGCAGAGATTATCATCTCATGATCCTCCGTCTAAGCAAGACAACAGGAGCAGCAACGCAAGGCCTGCCCAGGCCTCTGCCATCGGGGAGCCTTACCGGCTACCCCGTTGATTTCCACTCCACTTCCAGCACTCAGCCATACTTGTGGGAACTCACACCCACAACAACCACTCCCTTAAGAGATAACAGACCAGTCAAATGGTGGATGTAAACCCATCTACCATAATATATCTTTAAGCAACATAACTGTAGGATTAAGATGAAAGAAATGTATTTCTGGATTTTGAAATCAACTACCTTAAATCACTACTGGTATTCTAAAACTTTCAGGTATTGTCTGGAGGTGTGGCCTGCAATAACTACATTCGTAGTGCTCTCCAAAAATTATGCGAAACAACAGGTTACCAGCTTCTATGCCCTCCACCTAGATTATGCACAGATAATGGAATTATGATTGCATGGAATGGTATGGAAAGGTGGAAGGCTCAGTCAGGGGTTATCTATGATGAAGAGGCGATAAAAAACATTGACATCAAAGCAAAGTAAGATTATTATTTTCCTTTGTTTTTTAATTGGATATTTGTATGTTTGGTATATATTTATTTTTACTGATTTCTTAAATTAAGTTGAAGCTATATGCTAGACATGAAAGACTGAATACATACATAATAGATATAATTAGATATGAAATTTACATAACTAAAGTGATTTAAAAGCAGATGAACATCATTAAGTAATTAGTACTATATGACCTTGATGCCTAGTACATTTATTTGTTTAAACCATTAACTAACATTAAGAGATTTGTCACATCAGGTGGAAATTGTTTTTTTCACAGATTAGAGAACAGACAAAGAATGTCAGGTCAGGTCAACTGAATAGGAGAAATAGTTTATCTTGTAGACAGCTTGAAGTTAATTTCTAGTGTAGGTTAAGAAATTATTTAGAAGTATGCCACCAGTTTACAGCAATGATTGGAAGTTGACTTTGGGTAGATAATCAGTTCTCAATTTTAGTCACACTCCTCTGGTGGACAAGATGGTATTTTGCCAATTGGAAACTTCCTGGAATCAGTTTCATTAACCCATTAACTCTCTACCCATATTACCCTTTGATTGTTTCATAAAGGATCTTTTGCAAGTTTTCCTTAAACAGTGTTCCTATTCCTTCCCCATCCTTAGATACACTTCCTTTCATCCAGTTGCCTTACACCCTTAAAAGTTTCATCTTTCTAATCTCTGCTTTACATCATTTGCTCCCCCTCTTTACCCTTTTTACTACTATACTGTCCTATAACGCTCTCTATCCTCTGGCATCTAACACACACATTTCTTGTCCACTAGTATTATTAATATTATAATAATCATAATATCAATTATGATAATAACAGGGTGAATATTAATACCATTAGAAAAGTAAAATGTTTTCCTCAAAATCCAAGGAAGAGGAAACAGGTGAGTTCATGTAATGCCTACTGACATCTTGGTGACCGAGCATGTACTGAGCCATCTATATCCAAACAAGATTCACAAACTAAACTGGACATGTACTTAGTGGCAATGGGTTACATATATCTCACCAGTGTGTTGCAGAGATTTTATGAGCATGAGTTGCCTTCGGTCACCCGTTGTAAGGTAGAAGATAATTGAGAAAAAAGGTTGGGAAATAAAGATGACAAGTATATTGTTAGAGGAGGGAGAGAGGCTAAAATGATCAGAAGTAGGACAAGCATCAGTAGAAAACCTGATGTTTCAATGTGTATGTTTCTTGCAAGCAGAAGAGGAAAAAAGGATATTATAAGCCAAGATGTATATTTAGAACTAAAGTCACTTGGTGGAGAAATAGCACTGCTGAAAGGCCAGAATATGAAAGACATACTGACTCTTTAAGGTTAGGAGTTCATAATGAGAATAGTTTTTAATAAATGACCCAAACAATTCACCTCAGAAAAAAATAGTTTACACCACATATATATCTGCTTTCAAAAAATTGAATACTAATTACTATTTCCTAATTTTTCAGATGTCCTATTGGAGTGGATCTGACAGAAGATGTTCGTAGTCTGGGAATTAAAATTCAAAAGTGGGTCAAATTTAGATGATGCTAATAGAACATTGTAATTTTTTTTATTCTTTTCCATTTAGGTGTATTGAAAAAAGTAGGAAGTTTGTTTTAAAGGTAGGAAGTTTGTTTTAAAGAACAATATAAAAGGAATATTAATACCAACTGTTTTGTATTTTTTTGAGATGGATACTAAGAATTAACAGCAATAAAGTTCATTTGACGGTTTTAAGTCAAACCAGATTTTTTGTTGTTTTTGATGTTTATAATGAAATGAAATTGTTTTAAAGATATATTGTTTAAATTTTTAAATGTTACTACAAGAAAGAAATTTGATATTAAAATGAAATTACTGTTATTCTTTGAGATGAAATTGCATTATGTAGTTTGTAAAATTGTTTGAATTTCTTTGCTCTGTTCATTGTTAGCGAAATAAACGTCATGAAAGAAACTTATGTTACTTTTAATGGTTTTTGAACCACCTTA